ATTAGTAATCCAGCAAGGGCACATAAAATTGATCAAAAGTGAATAATAATGTTCTGTAACAGAACATTGGTGGGGGGGGTATATATGCTTATATTTTTATATATAAAAATATAAGCAGCACAAATGTTTTCAAGATAAATAATAATATGAAATCTGTATTGAGCAGCAAAGCATATTAGAATATTATTAGGGCTAATTTCATAGTAACTGATTAGTCATTAATATATTTAAATATATATACACACACTGGTAGAATATTTAAATATATAGATTACATTATAATGCACATTTTATTAACAAATAAAAATAATATATTAATGATATATTTCCCTAAATAGCCAATATGTTGGCTGTTTATGGGTAATATTTCATTTTTCAGTATTAATTATTACAAAACCACACTTAGAGCCATTTTCTCATTTGAATTACAATTCTGCATCCTGTTTGGCTCGATTAAAATTCAGGAACTGGATTAGAATTTCAAAAGATTTCAATTCTGAATCTTGCACAGCCCTGCCGGAGGTTATTGTTGTAGCTGCTCATTATCCTATTCTTGTTGTGTTGCACCAGTGTCACTGCTGAAGAACCTGAAACACGCCAACATCGTAACGCTGCATGACATCATCCATACGGACCGATGTCTCACCCTTGTCTTCGAGTATCTGGTAAGCCACATCTGAATACTATGCAAACAGTAGCAGCCTGTAGAGTTCCCACAATGCTTTGTGATATTGGGCGAGGTGGTATTTTACATATTTTCCTCTTCAACTATGAAAGCAACCTCAAAAAGTGACAGGACCAGTCTGTTTTGAATGCCATTTTGACGTCATAATCTATTGTCTTTAAAGGACAGTGACTTGAAGCAGTACCTCGACAACTGTGGAAACCTAATGAGCATGTACAATGTGAAGGTAACAGCGAAAAACATCAGCAAGCTTAGCAATTAAAAGTCAACAGAGCTGTCCACATAGACAGCTACCTTCTAAGGCAGCATCCTAATGCGAAACCGATAATTGATTCTGATAGAGTCTGTTGCTAAATAACAACAGGTTTCCAATGACAAACAATTTGTTAATCGATTACGAGCACAAAGCTGCTCGACAACGTCACAGCCAATCAGAAGATATGCTTCGATATACAGTTACGAAGAGCAGGATTTTGGACCAATGAGATTTCGCTGGGCGGGGCTACCCAGCAGACCCAGAGAAGCGATTAGATCTCTTTTGTGATTTTTCTTACCTATAGGGAAAACTTGGGTGGAAATTAGAGCATTGGGAACCCATAATTGACTAATTAGTTTGTTTAAATAACTAATAAGTCAATTTATTAAAGAAAATTTAATATAAATTAAGTATAGATCTCTAAGTGACATTTCAAACACTGATTAACAGCATCTAATGATTTGGAAATAGCCCATATGTTTTAGGATAATGGGGAATTTAGCCTAAAAAATAATTATATTAATAGATACTATACTAACAGCAGTAATCAACCTTTCCAATTAAACAGCTAATAGCTTTTTGCAACAGTGTCCGAGGCATAAAATAGTATTCATAAAAAAAGTCTTTAAATTAAACAAATTTTATCTATACTTGTCATTATTGAATTAAAAACATATAGCAGAATTTTCTTCATTCAAGTATTTCATAATGCGTTATCCGCAGTGGATGCATGTGATGTTGCCTTAAAATTAGGTGAAAATGAGGTATCTTAGAAGGCAGGTGCCTACATTTTGTATGCCTTAAAATGCTGTCCTTGTTGGAAGCGCTAACATCCGCCTCTCTGTCCTTGTAGATATTTATGTTCCAGCTTCTTCGTGGTTTATCATATTGTCATAAGAGGAAGATTCTCCACCGGGATCTGAAGCCTCAGAATCTGCTCATTAATGACAAGGGAGAACTCAAACTGGCAGACTTTGGTGAGACGTTCTTACAAGGCCTGAATATTCACAGATGCGTTTACTTTGGTGTGCTGTACAAAGAATATCTGACTTGTTTTTTAGCACATTACCCAGCAGCGGTCTCCCATGTGACTCCCATTTGAAATCAGCTTTTGGCTCAGATTCTGGCTTACCCAGCAACGTTTGTTCATCGCCTTATCTATCTGTCTAATCTTATTTATTAAGGTTTGGCCAGAGCAAAATCAGTCCCAACAAAAACCTATTCGAATGAGGTTGTGACCTTGTGGTATCGACCTCCTGATGTCCTGCTGGGTTCCACGGAGTACTCAACACCGCTAGACATGTGGTAAGATGTTGCTCCCATAAACCGCTGCTAGAAAACATTGAACACAATAGTACTACTGTATGGCATCGGCCACAATGTGTTGCTAACATTATGAGAGATTCAAGCAAAACTATTAAAGGGGTCATATGATGCTGCTAAAAAGAACATTATTTTGTGTATTTGGCGTAATG